CTTCAATCCTCTTTAGTAAAAGTTTGACAATTTGTCAGATACAGACATGTACTTTCGTTGGGTGGGAAGCTGGTATCAACCTTTTGGATTTAGTTGAATCCATTTCCTTTATTTTTCTTGAAACAGTGACATCATTTGGGGTTTAATGCCAGACATCAGCTTTTCTGTTGCTGCAGACGTTCGGCCTACGCTCTAGATTGAAAAACTGTTGATAACTTTTCCATATATTTTCAACAGGATCTATAAATAGTCTTCGAGCTACATCACTCTGTTGAATAGCAATCTCACAATGCAGACTGAAAGAACGGTTATATTTAGAAAGGAGGGGAGGAAGAGCAGCAGCTGCGATGTAAGATATCTGAAAATGGAAACTGCTCCCAGGGGTGACAGCGCTTATTCTCTCCGCTTTAATTATTTATTTTCCCTTTAATAGAGGGCGGACGACAGCATCGATGGGGCAGAGATCATGCTGTTTGAGGACTGCTGACGTTCTTGTGGCTCCCACTGCTAATGAATATGTCTAAACCAGTGAGCTTTGGCCTTTGTCTGTCCTCTGGTCGTTCATGCGGACCGGAATTCTGTCCATAATATAGGTCTATTTTACATTAAATAAATATTTAAAAAACGGTCGGAGTCTAGATTTGCACAAAAGCTTTGAGACAACCAGTTGAGAGAGAATGTAAGCAACCATTTTAAACACATATGATGCAGGGTCCTTTAAGTTGCTTGATACTAGCATTATGCATTCAGCCGGCATTGTGCCTCGAAGGGGAAGGCATACTTTGTGTTGACTTGGACGACTGTGCTGCTTCTCCAAATGCCTTGTGAACAACAAGTCCCCCGGGGCTCAGAAGGCAATCACAGGTGAGAAATCACTGGCAGCATTGACGACGCGAGTCCTGAGACATCAAGTGTTTGGGCGGGTCATAAAGTGATTAGTCTCAGTCTCACAGGGAGAGAGCAGAGGTCACGGTTGAACGTGGCGACGGCGGTTGAAGCTTCCCCGTGCAAGGGAAAATAAAATACAGGATTAAAAAAGAATTTGAGTAAATGTCACAAAAGCCTTGTGGTCCTTGGTGGAATGTTATGTGTGTGATTTACCTGTTCCTTGCAGGGCTGAGAACATCACTGTTCTCATTAGAAACTGCTTCTGCGCTGTCTCATAGCAACCTAAAAATAGAAATGTCCCTATTAGGCTGTATAGCTGTGATGGTTGCTACAAGTTTTGGCCTCTTTAATTGTGCAATATATATATATATATATATAAACATGCCCTTTATTACGGGGTGTATGGGAAGCTTGTTTTTATTCTAAAGACTGGCACTGATGTTCCACACTGCAGATAAATTAGATCTTGTTCATAGCTGTGGCTTATTATCTGATCGATTCAGACATTTATTAAAGGATAAAAAGAATATTCAGTGAGCTGTTATTCCTAATTCCCTCCCATGTAAAGGCCCAACAGCGTTAGTGGCTTTAATTTACAATTTAATTTAATTTTGAAATGATTAAAATAACAATACACACCCGCATAACATTTGCATGTGTTTTGGGTGGCACCGCTCCTCTTGTTTTGTGTGCTGCATGTTATAAAGATCCCGACAGAGGTTTTCATCATCAATTTATTTTTGGTCGAGCACACTCTGACGTCAGGAGAATTCACGTTTCATTCAAGAAGCAAGAAAGTAAGTTATTTATAACCATTAGCACCTTCGGGTTGTGATCCTTGAGTGCGCAGTGAGCGGAATACTCCCCATTGGACTGATGTGGTGAGCCTCCATAACAAAAGCGGCACCGCTCGAGTCCGGAGAGGTTTCGGCGCCCTGTGCACTCAACTAGGTCGCTTCAGTCGCGGTTGAAAAAATAGGGATATTGCGAGAAGAACTGCAAGAAACTTTGGTTCTGAATCATTCATTTGCCCACGATTTTCTTCACCCTTTACATGCGGGAAAGCGCTGGATACTTTGAGCATGAGAAACCTCTCCCGTGACCAGGTAAGACAATAAGCAGACGTTAGATTGTCCCGCAAAATTATACAAACTATAAAATGATTGAAAATGAAAGGTGATTAATTCAACTGTATGTCGTTTCGCGTCGCTGCTTCGTTCGTCTTTGAGGAGACTCGAAAATAATGCGGTTCGCCTTACACTCAACGTGAGGTGTATGTACAGTGTTGAATACAATTTGAACAAAAATCTATACAATAAACACAATCTCACATGCGGGATTTGACGGGGGAAGTCGACAAACCAAAGGCATTGTAACGCAGAGCGTTTGTTAAGTTATCCCAAATGAGAACCACGGACAGCGACTCCTCCGCGTCATGTCGCCTGTCGGAGCCCGTTGGGGTTTTTTTTGTTGGTATTATTTAAATAAATGTCGTTGTCGTCGAATATCTATTGATATCCTTCTTCTTTTTTAAAGACGATCACGCCTGATGTTTTTGCGCACTCATCAAAGGATGAACGATGCTTTTGTTCGACGCTCTTCGTCCCTTTCACAGAAAAGACAAACGTGAGCTCCCGTATTGACAGGGACAACAGGATAAACTTTGATTTTTAATATCAAATCATCCATCGTTTGAAAATCTAACAGGTGCTGTAACCATGCTGTCTCGTGCGTGGTATTTTTTGGGCATGGCCGTGATCAGTTTCCACTCTAGACAACAACAACAACAACAACAAAAACATTTTTACACATTACTGTCATTTTTATATAAAGCATATATATTTACTATATCGAAAATGTGGAGCTGTAAGTTACGTTTTTAACGGTATCGTTGTAAAAGAGCGCCACCTGCTGGTGGTGATTTAGCAACAGAGAGAAAGCGACAACATGAGTGTTAACTACATCAATGTTTTGTTCGAAGGGCAGTGAGCTGTAAATTCCACACGATCTGCGACTGGCTGGGAGATGGCAGATATACTGGAGCTGCGGACGGATGGAAATTCACTCCTGAAGGCGGTGTGGCTCAGACGCTTGAGACTCACCCGGCTCCTGTTGGAAGGAGGAGCGTATATTAATGAGAGCAACGAACGTGGAGAGACACCACTCATGGTGGCCTGCATGTCCACACACACCGACCAGCAGAGCGTGAGCAAGTCGAAGCTGGTGAAATACCTGCTGGACAACCAGGCGGACCCCAACATACAGGACAAAGCCGGTAAGACCGCTCTAATGCAAGCCTGCATCCACAGGGCTGGACACGAGGTGGTGGACCACCTGCTGAGCAACGGAGCTGACCCCAGTCTGGAGGACAGGAGCGGGGCCTCAGCGCTGGTCTATGCCATCAACGCAGATAACAAGGAGACGCTCAAACTGCTCTTGGACGCCTGCAAAGCGAAAGGCAAGGAGGTAATCATAATCACCACGGACAAGTCACCGTCTGGCACCAAAACGACCAAACAGTACCTAAATGTCCCCCCATCACCAGAGCTGGATGCATACTGCACCTCTCCGTCTGACATCAATGTCACTGCGTCGCCCACACCTGAGCAAGAGCAGCAAAACACAGTTTTCAGTTTCCAGACCAAGCTGAAAACCTCCAGTTCAGCTGCGAAGCTCGCCAACGGGCTGACTTCTCCGGCGCGCCGGCCGGCGAACCCCAAACGCGCCCGTTTGCCTCAGCTGAAGAGGCTGCAGTCGGAGCCCTGGGGCCTGATTGCTCCCTCAGTCCTGGCGGCCGCCGCCTACGAGGAGAGTAAAAAAGCCAGCTCGGAAGACGACGTCGCCGCAGGGGTTAACGGACTCTGTCTGAATAAGAGGTCAGCTTTATCTAGACAGAGCAGTGTGGACGGAAAGGACAGCTTTTTTCCGCTGGTGGCTGAACAAACCTGCAAAATCACAACCTCAATATCAGTTCCTCCAACGTCCAAAGCCTCGTATGAGAGATCTCTGGGCCAGCACCAGCCGCTGGTGCGACGCAGCACTGTGCCCACGGAGCAGGAGGGCAGCAGTGGCACCGCTGGACATGCCAGTCTGAGAGACACGGTGTACAGGAGACACCTGGAGACCGATCACTACGACTCGGACTCCCAGCTCTACTCAGGCTCCGCCATGCTAGACTCCCCTAAGGTCCCGGTGGAACGAAGGAAACTGAACACTTCTCCCCTAGCGATGCTAACCAGCTCCAGAGAGTCTCTAGACAGCAACGCCAGCACGTCCTCGCCCAGCACGGCACACAGACGCGCAACGGGCCTCCTGGAGAGGAGGGGCTCGGGCACGCTGTTGCTGGACCACATCTCCCACACCAGGCCCGGCCATCTGCCCCCTCTCAACTTCAACCCAAACCCGCCCATCCCTGACATTGGGGCTAGTAGCAAGCCTTCCTCACCCCTGGCCACGGGTATCAGATCTATAGCTCCAGTAGCACCGAACACACCAAAGAGAGGTGGCCTCAAGTCCAAGAAGAAACTTGTGAGAAGGCACTCTATGCAAGTGGAGCAGATGAAGCAGCTTTCCGATTTTGAAGAGATGGGTCATTAGTTAGTGATGGTGTTTATGCCGCACATGTTGTGGGAGTAGAACTGTCAGGAAGTACATCCGTAGGTTCCTCTGTGTTGACTCACAGCCATCTAGATGTTGAATAATGTATAATTTATTTTTTTTAAAAGGTATATGGATATTAAAACTGAGCAATATAGATAGACTTCTTCCCTGTGTTACACCCAACCATAGGGTTCAGAATATTTTGACTTTGCGTCTGCTGTATATGTATTACAGATTTGAATGTAAATACCAAGACATGGTTCTATTCCTCTGAACTCGCTGTCTAAAATGAAGATGTAATGCGTAGGGAACACACAGGGTCCATTTGTAGCCAGCAGGCCACTTGAGTGCACATTGTGCAAATGTAATTAGAACCGTTAATGGATTTTTTTATTTTAGAACACGTGATGCACTTGTCTGAGATGTAGCTTTGAGTAAGATGAGATTTGACTGTTTGTAGCAAATTTGTACAAAGTGCCTTTAAGATAAAGAAACAAACAACAACAAAAAAAAACAGTGGACAGATACATTTAATGTATTAGAAGCATTTTCAATGTAACCAAAATGTGTTTCGTTTCAATATTGTTGGACTCACATGAAACAAACTGAATAAACGTGATGTGAATGAATGAAAAATATGCCCTAACAAAGAGGTAAAATGATGGGCCATGTATAACAGCACTTTATTGCCCAATAGAAAAGAAAATGAAAATGTTGCTATCAACAGTGTTACAAAAACCTTCAAAGCACATGTAATTCTACACGTAATGTCTCTAACAAATAATGGCATTGGAGCCCTTAGTCAACACAGGCATTGGTGAAACTTGTCAGTAAAAATGTCATTTCACGCTAATGGCAATCGAAACTAAAGATCATACAGCTTCCATGTAACTTAGCTGTGAAGTATTGCTACTGTTTGAGAAAAATCCATAGTATTTTTGCAATTAGTTTGTTGTATATTCGGAATAAATGTCTATCACTTGTGACTTTCTGTCTATGTACTCATTTGTCACATTGAGTAGGAGCTCAGCTGTCAGCAGGAACACAGATGCTCATTAAAAAGAGCATGGGTCCTTCCCCGGGCAGGCCGATGGTACTATGGAGATGATGACGAACATCATCCATGTCACTGTGATTATATCAGACCGACCATAGAGGCACTCAGATCCCACAGCTTCTTGGCAGCTTCATCATCCAGACCCTGTGGAGCAGTGGTTTTAGGGGCGCAGTCGCTGCAATCAGAGCAGAATTGAGTCTTAAACATGTGGCTTCATCCGTTACAACACTGCTAATTTAGTTACAAGTATGAGTTTTCATTCAGGATACAATGATGAATCCGGATGGAAATCACACGGTCACTAATCATACAGGACAGGAACCTGGACAGAATACTGCAGTACTAGAAGGGTATTCTGTACATCATTATGACAGTAATTTAAGTAATTCCATATTGCAATATTCCACACTGACTATTTAGAGGGATATTTATCACGTTTTCTTACCTTGCAGCTTGTTAGCCAACTCTCGTGTAAAGAGAACATTAGCTAGTTTACTTTGTGAATAGCTTGCTGGACAGCTGCATTTTTTTTTTTTAATTATTTCAAATTGAATTAGATATTGACAAAATAGGAAACCAGTATAAGTTGCTCACCCCTTCTAGCCAGGTCAACGGCTGTTTCTTTGCCAATCCCAGTGTTGCCTCCGGTGATCAAGACGGTCTTTCCCTCCAGCGAGGCTTTGCTGCGGCACATTCCACCTGCCGACCATTTCTACACACCAAATAACACTGCTCCTGTAAGAGTGAACACACAACATTCATCTGCACCCTTAAAGAGAAAACACGTTCAACTTTAAATTTTGTACCATATCTCGATCTTAAAACTGGAACTGGAAACTACTTTGTTAATCAATTAATTGTTTTATAAGTTTAAGAAAAAATGCTGAATATTTGCTTGGAGAAAATCAGTGAAGTTACAAGTAGCTATTTTCCGTTTCTGTTTCGTTTTCTTTCTTACTTAGTTACAGTAAGTGGAGTTCCTGAAAAACAATCTATTGTAATTGGTTAATTTAGAGGTGAAGATTGTTTTAAAGTCAACTTCCAAGACTCCTTAGAAGAAGCTCAAACAACTTTGTTTTGTCTGATTGTAAATTGCATTTGTATTGTCTTGTTGTTGTTTTACGCTGTTTTGCTGTCTCCGGGATCCTTTTCTCAAATAGGACCCCAATGGACATTTTAGCATTATTGTGTGTTAATCCCTGACAACATCATTGTGTATCAGGACAGGTCAAATAAATGGGTCAACAGCTATCCCTCTATTCATATTATGGACTAGTGAGTATAAGTAGTCATTTTGAAGCTGTGCTTTAATCATGTTACACACGAATGAAGCAAGGAGTAGATTTTATTTTCATCATTTTTGATGGAGAAGCGTTTGAGAATGTGAATTTGCATTGTCTGAGCATGCAACCTCACTTTGGTCCTATAGGCGAATCCTATTGGTTGTTGTTAGGCAACACCATTTTCACGAACAATTGGCAACTTCTGACAATAACAACACTAATGATAATAGTAATACTTTTCTAAATTAATATAAATAACAACAATTTAAATGGCAGTGAAAATTTAAAAAGTATTTAAAATGGAAAGCAAAATGAAAATAAAATACTAATTGAAATACAATAACGTAAAATGGGAATAGATAGTAAGTAATAACAGCCACATCAGTATCATCTGAATGACCAGAATTGTGTAAGATGAGCTGAAGTGAATGCCTGTTTTTTAAAGAATATGTTAAATAAAAGGGACGCTGAAATGCTGAGTTTTGTCATTTTTAAAGTATCAATCGATTTTGCGCCCTCCTGATCCCAAATATGGGATCAATAACTACATAAATATTTTTACATATTAAAGGTTGTAATAAGGGGGAACGCATTAAGGGTTGTAGTAAATAAATATATCCTACAACCAACTCAAAGCCTGCAATGGTGATGATATTTTAACGGTAGGTGACTGGTTATGATAATGATGGCTGAAGTCCAAATGTCATGTTACTTGTCACACCTTGCATTGCACGTTAACAGCTTGTGTTGGGATTTGTATTTACTAATATTATGCTTTCAGTAAAGAATGCTTAAGTGTGTGGTGGCCCCTGCTTTGAGACCTATATTTATATGGGGATAATTACGTTTGCGTTGGAGTTGCTAGATGAACAAATCGTTAATCTGAAATCAAATGTGCAGAAATCCTCCAGCAGAAGTCAGTGTTGGCTCACCATCTCGTTCTCAGGTCCTTCTAAAAGAGGCCAGTAGATGGAGCACATACATCACGGACCAGGACTATGTTTAATTCTTTTATATCCATGGATACAGAACAAGTCCAGCAATCTTGGGGAAGTACTTTCTAAAGCATCAAATGATATCCTAAACTCCTTTGAGCAGATTAAGATGTCTCTGTTGCTGTGCAATTAGACAAAAGAGAAAAAGCAGCTGCAATTTGACAGTAAAAATAACATTAAACCTTCAGATCTGAATGAAATTTTGATTACAGCTGCAGCTAAGCAACTAACTTCAAACACATAATTTAGTTTCTTGCTTATTGATGGGTTGTAATGTGGCAGCTCAATAAGTCATTGTTTCTTCTTAACTTCGTCTGGACGAGGACTTAATAAATAGCTTTGACCTTGGAGTTTACAGGGTGACATCTGAGAGTGCAAGTGAAGGTGGGCAGCATGTGTACAGTGTTTATATACCAAAAGGTCAAATGTTCATGGCGAAACTCAAAAGATTATGTCATTGTGCAGCCAAGTCAACCTGATTTACGGTCCTTCTTTACTTGTGCAACAAAAAACTGTGCATTTCAAGGACACGAGCAGCTGACTTTGCCATTATATAATAAACACTTATTTGAAGATTTTTTATACAACTTGGGACCGTTTGGTTTGTAGAAATCTTTATCTGATATTGCATTCCTTACTTTTGTAAATGCAGGCCCCCGTATTCTCAAACAAAGAACACTCTAGAGGTGACCTGCAGGATGTCTCTTTGGCTGGCTCGCCAACAAGGCCGTCATGTGACTGCACTTTCCAATCCCTCTCCCAGTATGGTAAACCTTCCCGTGCTAAAATTAGAGGGCCCTCTGACGACCCTTTTCAGAACGTGACTATCCGGGACCCATCCTGCGAATGATTCGGGATGTCAAAAAAACCCTCGTGCCGCTCCCCTAGAGGAAGTTGCTGGGCTTTTCTTGCTAATGAAACAAATCCTGTGAGCTTATGCTATTTTTCCCAACAAGAAAATATTGCTCTAGGAAAATATCTGTATCATTTTCCCGGTTCTTATCTGAATGCATTATATGTTTGTAGTTTCTCTGCTAGATCTACAAACATTTTTGTCAAAGCTCAATATAAATTACACATATATTACATTACATTGTTGCACATTGTGGATCTCTCTATTGTCTGGAGTTTTAACAAAGCTACGTCATGGTATCCACGACAAATGATAGACCCAATAGATTAAATCAAATTAAAATAATTTCTTTACATGTTTTTGCATCCAAACAAACTCAAGTATGATGCATTAATATAACTCACACATTCATGGATAGTTTTTAGTGACTATGAATTGGCTGATTAGAACTTACTTGACATTCAACAAGTCACATGAGTCGTCTGTTGGTAAGCGTTTTAAGGGGATTTCTTCACTTATCTCACATTTCAAGTTGACAGAACAGGTTGCTGTAAATGTCTTTTATAGCTAAGGGCCCTTCCGAGAGTCCAAGATCAATGTCATCAGGTGTCATCACCTGACAACAGACATTTCATCTACTGCTGTTTGATTTTCCTATCCTGTTTTAAGCTTATGAGACCTGGAACTTTATGCAAGTGTAATTAAAGTCTCCAGACGGCCTTTTTAAATGTGCACAACAATATCCATAGTACACTTACACTTTTGAATAAAATATCCTCAAACATATTGCAATCAATGTGCCACATCACCGGCCGATACAGAGTGTTGCTATTTGAGTTGTGGGGGGGAATCACGAAACCACTTTAACTTTAGCAGCGATGGCAGATGGTGACCTTCCGTGTAGGTCACGAGAAGCTCAGGGTTCACTCTGCCCCGGATCGTTGTCTAGACGGAGGACAAGGTGCAGAACGTGCGATTTAATCATTCTTTGATCGCTCCCTCCTCTGTGCCGCTGTGACGTCAGCACCAGCGTGTCCCGCCGCCGGGGAGAAGGGCGGTGCTGCCTCCGCCGCGCACTATATCGCGGAGACACTCGAAGCCCTTCGCTCTCTCTCTGCCCGGAGTGTCGTCGAGCTCGTCCTCGTCCTTCCAAAAAGTGAACAGAAAAAAAAGCAAACCAGGGGAAACATGGCTGGATATCTGAAAGTCCTCAGCTCACTTTCGAGGTCCGCCGCTGCCTTTTCCAGGACCCCCGCGGTGCTCGCGCCGGCTTCAAATTGCCAGACCTCGCAACAAAGAAACTGTGAGTGGAGCGAGAGGGAGATCCGCCGAGGGTCTTTGTCCCAACGGCGCCAACGTGTTAGAAATCAAACGCGATGTGTTTTGATATAGATTACGTTGGCTAATGTGACCGTGACGACAACAGCAACCCGCCGGCCGTTGGTTTTCGACACCGGGAGGCTACGCGGCTAACGTTAGCTCGGGCGGTAGTAAGTTGGTAGTAACGGGGTCCTTAGCCGGGGATGCTCAGCGCGCGACCCGGTGGCCATACGCGTTTCACTGGCGGTGGTTTCTCGCCGTGCGGAGTTTACTAAACGTCGAGGGAGAGAGGGAGGGAGAGATGGAGATAAGGGGCCGAGAAAGAGACGCGAGGAGCCCGGGGGATAAGCCGTCTTTTGTCCCCCGCTCGCAAAGTTTAAGGGACGGTCGTTAACTCGTTCATTCACACAAATGAACGAGGCAGTCAAAAGACACGGTGACCCGCTTATGAAACGAACACAGCCGGTCGAGAAAGACATCTCTAAAATACAAAAAAGAGAGAATGTTGCGTAAACTGGCAGCGGGTGGATAAAAGCAATGTTCCGCTTTCTTTTTTAGCTGTGCGGACATTTTAATTTTTCGTGGCAGGGGATCCGTCGTACGGTCGTTGTCACTCAAAAGCAGGTCAGGTCAGTCGTCCACAACGCGCTGACATTTGTGTGACACTTGGTTGAACAAACCAAGGTCATTCGCCGCATACGAGGCTCCGCCGCGCAGAGCAATGGCTGCTCCGAGTGTCTCACGCACGAGCGGCTCGTCTTCCCCGTAGCGGAGAGGCGCGCATCGCACCACGTCGGGTCCATCATGGCTGTAACACCCCGTTTCGGCTTGTTACTTCTATGTCGGCGCTAATCGTTGTTACACTTTCTAATCTGTCCACACCAGATGTTCAACCACAAACCGTTGTTTTTTTTGTTTGTTTTTGGTCAGCGATTTGGAGAAGGACTCGCGGGCTCTGCAGACCCCACATTTTACACATCGAGGATTAGTTATTTTTGTTTTAGATCAATAGTACTTGTAGTAGAACCCATACTGGGACCACCAGCGAGTGTTTGCAGAGCAGGGTCAGGTGAAGGGCGGGTTGCCCCCCCCCCCCCGAGGTGTGATTGAATCAAGCGGTCATGAGAGCTTTACTCTCAGTGGTGATCGATAGCCGTGTACCACCTCCACACGTAAAGTCCTTAACTTCTACGCATGCGTACAATGGGGGTAACGTCTGTTCATATGCATGCGTGGCAGTGTGATTTAAGAATGACAGTTTGTGTTGCAGTCAGTAGTTGTCTTTGCAGACAGCTGTTCACTGGTTGTTGTGGCCTCTACATTTCACAGCGCTCATAAATATGGACAACGTGCTGTTTCTGCAGTAGTGAGATTCATAAACCTTTTGACCCGGTTTAGTCTGTTCCGGTTTAAGGGTTAATTCATTGACCTTCTTACAAACGTCTGGTTTGCAGCTTGGTTTTACCTGCTCAATGTTTTTTCTTGGAATGGGATTAAAATGCGGGTATTTGAGGCTCGCCTCCTTCTGTTAAATCTTATCCAGAGAAGCTGCAAAGACTTGAGGTTATTGCTGTCCACCTGTCCAGGTTTTGTTAGACATTCTTTGGCCGCTTGCCCTATTTGGAAAATAATGTTGAGGACACAGTTGCGATCTCATCATCCAAACTCCGGGTTGAGCTTTCACGTTAGTTGTAAACACTTTGTTACAGGCTATTTACAGGCTGCTTAACACTTAAAGTTGACACTAAATGCTTGGAGAGATTGTTAGTCTTGGGCTTTTCATCTGATATTTTCCGGTTCCAAATCAGTTTCACGCTGTGTTTACGCCATTTTGTTTTGCCGTCGTTGCAGTCAAAAGATCATCCATCAATACTTTGATGATGTGAATGTCACACTTCTGTGGAAAACTGAAATATCATATTTCTTTAAGCGAGTAGCCGGATATGGGATAGACCAGTGCGTTCACAGAATATGTAGACAGTGAGATCTTTGATATATAATTATCAATATTTAGACTGTAATGAGTTAGAAAAGTGACATCACTGTAATCCAAAACACGGGAAAATACCATATGAAGGGCAAAATCTCGATTTTAAAATGTGTTTTCTCATTCCGATATGAATAAAAGATCAATATACTAGCCGGCCTGAGAGACAGCTCTTATCTGCATGGTAAATCGAAGTGAGCTGTGCAGGAATGTTCTACCATTTGATGGTTAGCTGTATTTTTCAGCTATCAACTGGCCTCGTCTAAAGCTACCGGTGGAGAGAGAACCAAATAGTGCCGGCTTATCTCACGCATGTGGGAATGATGTGGCAGGCAGCACCCACATGACTATTCATCCCCCCCTCAGCTCCTAGCTTGTAATGCAAACACAAGTTACATAACCTACTCAGCTGCCTCCTGCACTCCCCCCTGCAATCCCCTCCCCCCTGCACTCCCCCCCCCCTGCACTCCCCCTGCACTCCCCTCCCCCCTGCAATCCCCTCCCCCCTCCTGCACGGTGATAGCTGAGCTCTGCTGTAGCAGATTTTAGTTGGAAGAGTCGACATTGATGCCGATGAATAACTATCGCTGCAGCCAGGATGCACTGCGTCAGGAACTTCACTGTTCCAAAAGCAGATGGAGAATGGCCGCGTATATTTTTAAACGACCGAAATCGAGTGCAACTTCTTATCCCGTTTATTTATCCTTGTTTATTTCGATCAGCTTGCGCCGTGCTTTTGAGTGACTTAATTGTAATACAGCAGTTACAAACGTCTATTCAGTGAGGTTATTTTCAGCGCTTGGTGGTCACTGTGTGCCGAGGTCGGCGAGGCTCATGTGTCCCGTCGGGGACATGGGGGGGGGTCTGCGCAGACGCTGTTTTGACAGGTGTTGCCATGGCGTCGTAATCCTAACTAGGTCAAAGTTCCCCACAAATCCAAGTAGATGTTTAATATCTTATTAACTTTAATATGAGGAAACGTTGGTTGTGTGGCTCGTCCCCCAGGCTCCTCACGTTTACTTGCATTATTCTGAGAAGGCTTTGGGTTCGCAGTGGGGGATCATTAACTGGGCTGGAAAAATCCAAGTCACTTGATCCTCTGCACCTCCCCCTGAACTTTTCTATTCACTCAAATGTTCCTGTTTTTTTTTGATGGGTTGCACCAGTCCTTGTGCAACCCAAGTTTTTATGGCCAAATACTGTCACCTGGGCTCTGGGTTTCGGCCATTCAGATTTGCAATGCTAATTCCTGGAGCACCGATTTGAGCAGGCTAATGGTTTTCTCTGTACTCTTCAGGTAGTAAAACAGGATTTTTAGTTCTCCAGTCCAGTTTCCCTCTGTTTGATGTCAAGCAGTCTTTGACCCTTAAATAGATACACCTTGTTGTTTACATACAAATCTTGACTTTCTTGTACCCGTGTGTGATTGACAGATGCCGACAAGCGCATCAAAGTGGCCCAGCCGGTGGTGGAGATGGACGGAGACGAGATGACCAGGATCATCTGGGAGTTCATCAAAGAGAAGGTGACTAGTTGGCGTCCAGAGGGCAAACACAGTAACAGTGGTGTGAGCCTTGTGTGACTGAAAACTGGACTGACCAATGTTTTCTAAACTGAAGTGTACATGCTTTGGTGTCTTTCAGCTCATTCTGAACAATGTTGCTGTTGAGCTGAAGTATTATGACCTGGGTCTGCCGTATCGTGACCAGACTGATGACCAGGTTACCATCGACTCCGCGCTAGCCACCTTGAAGTACAACGTGGCAGTTAAATGTGCCACCATCACACCCGACGAGGAACGAGTGACAGGTCCGTAACAAGAGTCCAGACGTTATATCGGCGTGGAGCAACATGTCCACTGATGAACTACAAGAAATTGTACAGAGACGCCAAAGTTATGCGACAAGTGTCATCGTGTCTCTTTAGAGTTCAGCCTGAAGAAGATGTGGAAGAGCCCCAACGGTACCATCAGAAACATCCTGGGCGGCACCGTCTTCCGCGAGCCAATCATCTGCAAGAACATTCCCAAGCTTGTCTCAGGCTGGACGCAGCCCATCACCATCGGCAGACACGCCTTCGGTGATCAGGTGAGTCCATGTAGAAATCCCACAGGAAGTGTGTGGACATTGACCAGCCTAAATGTCCCGCCCTCCACGCGTCCACTATTCAATTATGAATGTTCACTGCAAAGCGCCTCAGAAATGTTTATGCATAGAAATACACAGAAATCAAGGCGCTAGTTCCTGTGCATGCATCACGCAGCATGACGAGTGTCACCACAATATGCCATTTTAGGTCAATCAGACTGATACCTCATCTTTTCCAATCGAATAAACCACAAATGAATAAGCTTGTGTTGGCTGCTGCAATTTTACACACAACATCTCTATGCAAACTAAAATCGTACTTTATATATGAACAGTATCGGAAGATATGACCACAACTATATTCTGCATTTCTAATTTGCAATTGATGTTTTCTACTTACAGGCCCAATCCAGATTCAGAATCAACATATACATATTGACATTTAACGTTAATAAAATGTACTGTGCTTGCTCTACAGTACAGAGCAACAGACTTTGTTGTGGACCGGCCCGGAAAATTCAAGATGATCTTCTCACCCACCGATGGGAGCGCAGCCAAGGAGTGGGAGGTCTATGACTTCCCTGCTGGTGGCTGTGGGATGGGCATGTACAATACCGACGAGGTACGGGAGTGATTCAAAGATGCCTTATTGACTAATTCATTCTAATCTGATGGTTACCCTCTGAATACTGTCTAATCAACCCAGTGGGTCCTTGAAACTCGGCCCCAAGCCAGTCTGTTCCCAGGTCAATCCTAAAATAACAGGGCAGAAACAAGTAGATTTCCTTCAAACGGGCAGAACCTGTGGTTATTTTACCAGATGTTTCCCAAACAGGAGTTCTCGGTGTATTTGATCTGGCCTATTTTTGAACAAAGATTTGGTTTGCTAAGGAATAATTATGGCAGCGAGTCAATTTATGCAAGACAAAAAACATGTTGTCTAAAACTACCATGTTCACCATAATAAGGATCCGGTAATGGTGCAGCTTATTGATGAGTCTGTAACAGCTTTTCCTGAACAACAAAGGAAATCTACGGCGCAGAGAAATAAGAAATATCAGGCTTTGCCTTCACAGATGCTTGTTGATGGCATCAGTGTTGTTTTTGGTCTTTTCAAGGGGATTTGTTGACAATAAGGAATGACTAAGATCATTTTCTCATTTATACACAACATTTCTATCTGTGTGTCACAAATATCATCACGGACGATTGTTTCCTAAAAGACTCTCTGGATAAAAGAGAACAAATGGTCCTGCATACCCAACTAAGATTTTTGTCAGATTGAGACATTGTAGGTAAAAGCTTCAGTAAATGTGTGTTCTTCTAAATATAATTGAATCACTTCAACGATATATATATATATATATATATATATATACTAAATATTATAAACTTGCTTAATTCTTGCCAGCAGTCCCAAACGCTACCTATTTAGGATTGTTATTATTATTCTTTTCTTTCAGTTGAGTTACGTTAGAAAAAACTGCTGCTACATTCTGCCCCAGGCCTATTTATTATTTATTTTTTTGTTGACACAGAAGTCACTTCAGCGGACTGACCTCTTTTCAACCTGCTTCGCTACAGTTTTGTTTGCCGACAACAGAACGGGTCTGTTTGCTTTAACAACACCAGAGGTCATAGTAGATGACTTTCAACTTGTCAAGGGGAAGGTTGTTAGCTCCTGTACTACTGATAAAATGCTTCAGCAGTGGTGAACTGTTTGTATCCCCCCCCCCCCAACAGTCTATCACAGGCTTTGCCCACAGCTGCTTCCAGTACGCTATCGGCAAGAAGTGGCCCCTGTACATGAGCACAAAGAACACCATTCTTAAAGCCTATGATGGCAGATTTAAAGACATCTTCCAGGATATCTTCGAAAAGTGAGTGTCTTCTGTCTTTCTATCTTCACGACGTACAAATATACACATTGAAGAGTTTTTGTTAAATTACTTTTCCGTGGCATGAGAGCAAGAAGTAGTTGAACACGTTGTCTCTACTTCCTACAGGCACTACAAGCCCGATTTTGACAAGCTGAAGATCTGGTATGAGCACAGGCTCATCGATGACATGGTTGCCCAAGTGCTCAAGTCTTCTGGAGCCTTTGTGTGGGCTTGCAAGAACTACGACGGTGATGTTCAGTCCGACATCCTCGCACAAGGTTAGACACCCGGACGCCAAAACACAACTCCCGCTTCTTCGGAAATGTTGTCGCAAAAATAATGGACCGTATTTGCATTTAAGATGCCGGCTAGTTTTGTGATTAGAGCTGCTTTAAGGATTTGTGTTTCCTGCTTTTAGGTTTTGGCTCTCTGGGATTGATGACTTCAGTTCTCGTGTGCCCCGACGGCAAGACTATCGAGGCTGAAGCCGCCCACGGCACCGTGACCAGGCACTATCGCGAGCACCAGAAGGTGACTAAACATCTTATTGAAAATCATTTACACTGAGCGAGGAAATAGAAAATGTGTGAAGGAAAATGATGGTCCACTCAAACCGATTGTAATCGGTGGGGTTATACTGCCATCATGTGGGGGACATTGAGAATGACAGGCGTTCTTAGACGCCTAAACAAAGTATGCTTCACTTTCACGTTTATTAAAAAGAACATTGGAAAGAATTTAAAAACGGTAACATTATCCCCAATTCTGCTTTCAGGGAAGGTCGACCAGCACCAACCCCATTGCCAGTATTTTTGCATGGACGAGAGGCCTGGAGCATCGTGGCAAACTTGACGGCAACCCAGACCTTATCAAGTAAGATCTGTTGTTTTTGTAGGAAACGTAGAAAACGGATAAATCGTGCATTATCCTAAATATATTTGTTAATCTGCAGGTTCTCCCAGACTCTGGAGAGGGTGTGTGTCGAGACGGTCGAGAGTGGTACGATGACCAAGGACCTTGCAGGCTGCATTCATGGCCTGACCAAGTAAGTTCATTTTATGTAGAAGGAATTGGGCAGAGATGGATCAACAGCTGCGTTAAATGTATCACAGCGATAATGATGGTGCACTTGTTATCGCCATTATTAGACGTACATACTTTTTGCTGTCAGTAGTAGTTTGGACTATCGGATTTGTGATTCCAATATGTATGTCTGAACTATAACAAACCTGCAAAATGTCTTGGAGGCACTACATGGTTACATCAAGGTATAAGGAAGGGTTCTGCCCCAAAGGGCCACTAAAACATCTTTTTTTAGCCATAAAACATGTAATAAAAGCAATTTCTATGTCATGATTCATGCATGTCTGTATCAGCCATATAAGTACATTTTTCAAGATAAAAACACACAAGATACTATTCAATCACACAAAATCAAGTTGCAGGCTAATTCATTTTCTTAAAGGGAACCATTTTAGCAACATTGAATCTAGTTTGAGGGACAGAGGTCTTTCATTGTTTTATTCAACCTTTACTTGTTGGTTGACTTTTCCTTTCATGTTTTATCCATGAGGAATCGGGACTCGCACATCTGCCCATAACTGCCTGTTATTCTTTTCACTAAGGAAACAAGTCTTAGAAAACTAGAGACAAGCTTAAATCCAGGAGGAGAACTTCCACGTCATACTTTGTTAAAAACTGCTCATGTCAAGCATCTCGCCTACTCCAACTTAGGGGATAATAATGACCTGGATCTGGAAAATGATGATGCTGGTATCAACAGCCTTAATGATAAGAAGGGGAACTGAATGTATTGCTGCAGTATTCTCTAGTATGGTAAGTACGGTACTGAATGTTCTCATCTGTCTTGTCTTCTCAGTGTCAAGCTGAACGAGCACTACGTCAATACCACAGACTTCCTTGACGCCATCAAGACAAATCTGGATAAAGCCCTCGGCAAGTAAACGACTTGAAGAATATAGTTAGCCAGGAGATGGAAATGTCACTCATCTGTTTTTGTACCTCATTTTTAACTTAAAAGGTCAATAAATCCACTTGCAGTTTGTCTGAAGGAAGCGCAAAGTACTGTAATAGGATTATTATGTAGTATTACTAAATAGTTGAGAGCTGTGCTTCCACCTCATGTCTTTCCGACTATCTGTCCGGCTATTGCAAGGTTTTATTTTTGTAATGTGAAGTACTGTAATAATGAGTCAATACTATGTAATGCCTTGAGTAGGACTGTCAAACATATTTGCCAATAAATCTTGCTCGTCTCACTATTTGTATTTTTTTGTTAAACAACGGTCAGCCATTTTAAAGGTAAATAAATTTATTATTTTACAGTCTGGTACACAACATTGTACGTACATTTCTATCCACATTATCTCCACACTAATGTCTAATACAGAAATCCATTTAAGATGAAAATGTTTCCCTTTTTGAATTATCACCTAGACAGTGATGGAATAAACACAAAAGCTAAAAAACTCACAAAATTGAGCGTTTTTATTTTAAATGCGCTATATCAACATCGCAAATGGATACCTTGTTTTGCAGGTTACAACTTTGAAAAGCTAAGCACTGGGAAACTGAATACATTGAGCATTTCCAAAATCATTTTCCACAAGGTCCGTGGCCCTGTCACATGTTGGGAGGTTGTCGTTCATCACTTGAGACCAGTGTACAGCTTGATGGATGACACGCTCTTGCAGACACACTGGGGCACTTAATATTTGTGTCTTGAGGTTTTTTTTGGGACACTTCTTGTTGAGATTCACCCTTTTTTTTAAGCAGAACTACAATATGATTGCGCTGTTTGGATTTCCTTTGTAAAATGCTGCAGTCTTTGTTTGGTGAAGGCCAGACGGAGGGAGAAGAGTCGGTCCTCTGTGGTAATCTTTAGAGGGGATCTGCAGATGGGTGGGAGGGGAACCTGAATCTAATTTCATGAGGTCTGCGATTGGGGCCCCGAGAAATCTAATGTCCCAGCTCAACACAACAGCAAGGAAAAGAGACCTCCAGTCCCCCGTAGCTGCAGGATATGATCCAATTCTTTGGTAAAGGGGTGCTACCATTAAAAAGGGTATTTTGATTGGCGTCTTAAAACATTCCACAGAAACAATTACATTCATAGACTAGAGATCAATACAGGGTGATGCTTGTTAATGAAATACCCCAAAAGTAGACTCGGTGATACATTCTGTACAATAATATACAATTAAACACAGATCGCTGATCCAATCCAATGGGATGTAACTCATCTCTTGTAGACCTCAAATTGATTTCATCACAGTAAAAATCAATTGATCATTGACCTCTGCAGCTTGATGAGCTTTGCCATGTGAAATGACTTCTTCCGGGCTTCAACCCATCACATTAGTTTATGCCAGCAGTAAGAGCATTTCAACAGCATCATGTCGTAAAATATGTTGCTTTTCAAATTCGGCTTAGATGATGTTCCTGCTTTTGAGCCAAGGACCACATTTATGTATTTGTGTGGATGTGTTTATTAATTTTACCTAGATGCACACCTTTTAGACGGTCCACTTTTCTCAAATGCAATATATTCAGTACATTTGCTGTGTTTTAAGAGATGAAAAATATGCAATATGGTAAAAAGTATATATTTCCAAATTTCGTAGCATTACGAGTGATTCCAGTGCATATGAATGTGCGGTTTGCTGGGTTTCTTCACACACTTAAAGAACAACCCAAGCACTATGCTTTTTAAAGCAAAGAAAAAAAACAATCCTGTTTTCATTGGTTTACACTTATATTCAACCTGGGATCATTTCAATAATTCATGCAGTACTGAAGCGCCCTGTGCTCTTCCCATAGGTGCTGTAATACTCCATTTGAGATAGTTTAGCAATGTCCGGCGTGTTGTTGTTGTTAGCTCGGTTTTCTCGCTCGCTGAATTCAAAGCTCTCCTCTTCGTAGTCCTCCTGGCCCTCTGCGTCTTTGGGGGGTTCTGACGAAGAAAAAGAAAAAGAAATACACAAAAAATCATTCCCCTCTGTCCTCCACAACTCGCTCACACACATGTCGCCTCCTCCCAATGCCTCCGTATCAGCCTCTACTGACAGAGACAAGCGTGTCTAATCCAGGCACTGCTATATTTACTAATCACACATGGAGGGACTGACGGAGAAACATCAGAACACTCGGCCACTCCATTTCAGTACATGCCGAGTCAAAGTGCATTAGGAGCAGACTGAGACTGACAATAAAGCGACGTGAAGCCCCCACGGAGAAAGTCCCGCCAGGAAATTTGCCACACATAACTCGTCGTCAAGTATCAAAGAGTTCCATCTAGTTGAAAGCAGCGAGTGTAATTCACTGGGGATCGACGGAGGCGCTCACCGTGTCCGTCTATGGAGGTGTCCATGATGCCGTGCTTGACCTTCATGTGTCGGCTGAGGTTGCCCTTCAGGTTGAACTTGCTGGTGCAGTACGGGCACTTGAAGGGCTTGCTGCCGGCGTGGAGGTGCATGTGGCCGAGGAGGTTATACATTCTGTTAAATGACTTTCCGCACACCTGGGAGACCCAAAAAAAATAAAATAAAGTCAGCGCAACCTTCCCGGGCTCAAGCGCAGCGGGGACCCGGTGATCCTCGAGGCGCCGCTTCACTCACCTTGCATTTGAAAGGCTTGACGGGCAGATGGACAATCATGTGCGTTTTGAGCGTCTGCTTCTGCACAAACGTCTTGAAACAGACGTGGCACTGGAACGGCCTCACGCTGGCATGGATCAACATGTGTCTCTTCAGGTTGGCAGACAGCGTGAACTCTCTGGCACACACGTCACACTTGAATTCTTTCATGCCCTGTAGGAACAAAGAGTGTTAATTCATTTGGCTTAATGTGCGATTTAGAGGAACATAAATAATGAGTTGAGAAAACAAATAAGGGGCATTTTTGCATTCTGGCTTTTGATCCAGCACTTGGAGATTACATTAGTCTGCCACTTAAGTGTTGAAAGACTGAGTGGAAAAAGACAAACAATGGGGGGATTCAACATTTATTTGACTTTAATTTTAATACTTAACAAAAGCAAATGCCATGAAAGGGAATATTTTTTCCTATAGAATAAAACCGATTATATAATGAAACGGAGAGAAAGACCGGGGTGATTCATCAGACACAAAGGGAAGTAGCTCTGCGAATGACACACAAAACACATGCAAGTGGGGGGTTGAGCCAAACAAAAAAACTCAAGGCCTTTGAAGGCTGTGTTTACAAAGCAACTGGTTTTGGAGGAAAAAGCTGTGGTGCTCGTGTGGAACGTATAACCTCCCATTTTCCTCCTGAGGATTCATTTGTGAGGAATCCGAAAGAGAAGCTAAAATATTCCCCTCAATCACTCATGTGTCAACATCCTGATAATGGCATTCTAAATAATGAGCTGGGCTGGATCGGTACCTTAAGGGCGAGGGTGTGTGCTGCCGGTACCTTGTGGGTGAGGGCGTGCTGTCGGAGGTGGTGGATCTGGACGAACTCCATGCCGCACTCGGGGCAGACGTAAGGCCGCACGTTCTGATGCTTCATCAAGTGGTTTTGCAGCTGGCTGCGGTAGGCGAAGGACTTGTTGCACTCCGTGCACTGGTAAGTGGTCGGGCCCTGGTGGCTGGCCAGGTGGCGCTTCAGGTGCGCGTAGGTCGGGAACTCCAGGCCGCACTGCGTGCAGACGTGGCACTGGCCGCTCTCGTGCTTGTTCTCGTGGGTCCTCAGCTCGCTGGGGTAGGCGAATCCGCGGCCGCAGAAGCGGCAGCTGTACGGCTTGACGTCCGAGTGCTGCAGCATGTGCCTCTTCAGGTGGCTGGTCTGCGTGAAGGCCTTCTCGCAGACCGTACACTTGTGAGGTCTGGTTCCCTGGTGGGTGAGCAGGTGGGTTTGGAGGTGGCTCGGCTGCTTGAAGAGCTTTCCGCAGTGCAGACATTCGTGGGGCTTAATTCCGTTGTGGCCCAGGATGTGAGTGACGAGGTTGTATTTGGACGTGTAGGACTTTTCACACATGCGGCACTTCCAGCGTTTAAGACCCTCCCCCACATCGACGCAGTAGGACTCGTCGATCTGCACGTTGATGTCCAGCCGGTCGATCTGCATTCGCCGGGCGAGACCCTCCGGGTCCGACCACAGCATGGCCTGGCCGTTCTCCTCATACTCCCCTGGCAGGGCCATGTCGGTGGACTCGTAGGGCCCCTCGTTGGACTCATAAAAGCGGCTCTCCAGAGGACTGCCAGCGTCCCCGCCGGTCTTGAGGTTTAGCGCCTCTTCCAATTCCTCCTCTTCCACCACTATGCTGTCCCTGTCTTCTGTCCCTCTTTGCCGGTGTAGTCTTCTCTCTCATCTCGTGGCTGTCCGTCTGCCGGCGGCCCCGGTGTCTCTCTCACACACGAGAGACAGTCTCAGCAGGCTCGCTCCTCTTTCAGAGACCCCACATGGGAGACGGGATCCGCGGACTTGGGACTCCGCCGGGTGTTCGTGTGAATGCAGGAAGAAGGGGTATCAGACTCGAGCCGTTCACCTTTAACCTGAGCCTGTGGACTTGCTACTCTGTGTGCGTGACCCTCCGCGCTCCTGGGCCTCTTGGTCCTCCCGCGGGGGCCCGGGCCTCCTTCTCTCGCTGCAGTGGGGCTGAGGCTCCGTCTCGCCAGCGGGCTCAGCCAGGTAGTCCCCCGTTGGCCCCTATTAGCTGATCTGCGTACTCATACTCCATTGATTCAGGTGGAGGAGGCGCACACTCCCTGGGCTCCCCGGTGTAAAAGCCATTAGGAGCAATGGTGGCCCCAAAGATTTCATTCTGGGAGATGAGGCCCAGAACGGCGGCCTGAGCCAGAGACAGCACCACCACGGGCTCCGTCTGCGTGCCCACGTCCATGTGGCCCTCGGTCATCTTGGGGTACGTCCGCACCAAACGGCTGCCCTCCTCCTCCTGCAAGAAATATCACAGGGAAAAAGAATTTTGAAGAGAAAACACGTCTCTGCGGGTTTTCTCTCGGACTCTGTTCTTACGAAGCCGGCCTTACACAATGTTTTCCTCACACAACCCTAATTTCCCCATCGTAGCTTCACAATATTGGTAACCTTACGTAAAAAGATTTCGCTTTCAAGAATCAACGCCGCAAGCAGAAGAAACACAATCTTCCTCTATCTGAGACACTCCAATGCAGTATTAAGACAGTGCTTTTCATGCTGCTACATTCATACTGTTCCTTGCTTCTTTGCTCACACACAACATTCGATCGGGGCAGGGGGGAGACGGAGGGGGGGGGGGATATGGGCGATCTGAGTTAGCACCCCTTTTCCTTCCTTGACGGGCTTTGGAATAATAAAGAACACAACAAGGGATGCAGGTCCAGCCAGGAAGTAGACTTCCGAGGACTGTCCACAGCGCTTCCTGCGGGGTCCCGGGGCGGCCTGGCTGACCAGAGTCGGACTCATCTCTGGTGCTCTGCGTCCTATTCGCTCACTTCAACAAGATGATACACGCCAGAAGGCCGTCTCATATCCATAACGGACATTTGCTAGAGCTTCAAGCTCATTCTGTATTCCACACCGATACGATATAAGACTCGCCAGCAGAACCGTGCGGTTTGGTGTTTTGTGTTTCGGAGCCACACGCGTTCACCGCGACGCCTGTAAAAGCGGATCGGTGAAGCTGTGACAAATAAATCGTGTGTGTACAAACAAACCGGCTGTCCACGGTCAAGAAGAAGCAAAAGGTTTGAGGTTATTTCTCAGCATGAAGTCGCAGTGGTGGCAGAACGTATAGAGAGACGCTCTCTGACCCCGACTTTCACTCAAAAGCAAGAGCTGCTTCTTCTCTTCACACAATGCTGAGAGAAAAGACTGGATAGAGAAATAAAGGGGAGATAGAGCCAGAATAAAGGTGTGTGTGTGTGTGTGTGTGTGTGTGTGTGTGTGTGTGTGTGTGTGTGTGTGTGTGTGTGTGTGTTGGGAGAGGGGAGTAGACCTGGATGCCCTGATAACCACGTCATTTATAATTACTGCTTTTAAAGTAGTCAGACAGAGACAGATTGTGTGTTTGTGAGAAAGAAAAAGGAAAGAGACTGGATGTGTATTTGAAAGCATGTGTGTGTGTGTGTGTGTGAGAATAAAGAGAAGGAAGGAGGTATGGAGGGAAGGAGAAAGAGCTGTGGGCGGGGGAGGAGTGGAGGGAGGGAGACAGAGAGAGAGAAATGAGATGGAGGGGCTGAAAGATAAAGAAAGAGGGGAGGGGAGGGAGAGATTGAGTGAGCATGTGAGAGGAGGGAAGAGAGAAAGGAAAAAGAGGGAGGGGGTGTGCGATGAGGGGGGAGGAGGGGGGGGTGGAGAGAGACAGAAAGACAGTGAGTGAGTGAGTGTGAGAGAGAGAGGGGAAGAAGGTGAGGGAGGGAAGGAGGGGGGAGGTGGAGAAAGGAGAAAAAGCACAGCAAAATGAAAGGCTGACAAAATGAAAGAGAAAAAGACAAATGACAAGCGGAAAGAGAAGGTGGGCTAGTAATTGCCAGACTACGTCCTTTCACATTTAAAGTTGTGTCTGAGAGACACCTAAGAACAAACAATCAGCGCGGAAAAAACGTGCGGCGGACGTAGAAACACAACTCCTGTCTCTTTTTTTATGAAAAGACGTTCCCACTGCGGCACTCACGTGAATGTAAAAAGTAACCCGGCTTCCCCTCACGTACAAACAAGAGCGTAAATACCTCACTAAGTAACCGGCAAACAGCAACCCCCCCCAGCAAAACACATCTTCCTCCATCTGGAGGCTACCAACTCACCACATTGGTCCTGGAGTGATGTTTGAGGTGTTTCAGGGATCTCATCCTTCAGGAGAAATGAGTGGAGTAAAAAAATCCACCTCCTATTTATATCTGTGGGAGAGTGGGGCGGTCCCACGGCTCATCCTCCTCCTACTGTTGCTGTTATCAGAACTGACTGTGCCTTGCCCCCCCCTCCTCCTCCTCCCCCCCTCCCCTCTCAGCCCTCCGCCCCCCACACACACACACACACACACACAGACAGAAAGAGACACACACAGCATCACCCCATTTCTTTCTCTTCCTCCCACCCTCTCCTTCCCATCTCACTTCTCTTTCTTTCCTCTTTTCTCTTACAAACACACACACACACACACACACACACACACACACACACACACACTCACACACACACACATATCTTATCTCCCTTTCTCACCACATACAATACAGCATGACCCTTCAACACACATTTCTCTTGAAGGCACACAGAGACAGAAGCTCTATCTTCCCTTCATCACACTTAATACTTTGCATTTCCTCATTTTACGAGCGTGCGCTGAAATGCACAAACAGTTATTACATCCAATCGGTAGTTTCTCTCACACAGTTATATGTGAATTGGCGCAAGCACAAACATGTGTATGAATGCAGGCACACACTGAATCACGTACACACTTTCACAACACGCACAAACACTCAGAGGGAGAGCGAGGGAGGGAGGGAGGCAGGAAGGGAGAGGGTGGAGGTGCGTCTGTCAGCAGCAAAACAGTCAGACAGATAATGTCAATGCGATACTCAATTTCCAACTTTCCAGAGAGTGTGTAGTTTGCGACCATTATTTCTGGAATCAAACTAATTAACTATTGAGACAGCCTGAAGTATACTGAGAAATCCAGAAGGAAAAACATGAGTGACAACAGCAAAAAAGAAGGAGAAAGAAAGGAGAGAAAAGCTGTTGAGAGAGAGCGGGAGGGAGACAGACGTGGGGGAGAAAGAATAAGAAAGAAAGAAGCCCAGGGAGGGGGAGTGAAGCTGAGTGGAGGAAGACGAGGAGGTGGAGGGGGGGGGGGGGACAGACAGAAAAAGGGAGAGAGGAAAGAGAGCTGGGGGTGGGGGAGGGAAGAAGAGAATGCAGCAAAAAGGAGGAAGAAGGGAAGGGAGACATGGGGGAGGGAGGGGGGTGGAGAGGGAGGGCGGCCGAGGCATAAGAAAGGATGTGGCAAAAGAAAGCGAAAGAATAAAAGAGAGAGAAAGGAAAGAGGGGGGGTTGAGGGTGGGGATGGGAAGAGAGATAGAAGGTTGAAAGAAAACGCAGTGAAAGGAAGGAGGGAGAGAGAAAAAGAGAGAAGGAAAAAAAAGGGGGGATGGTGGTGTGAAAATAAAAAAAGAAGAGTCCATCAGCAAGAGAAAAGAGAAAGGGAAGGAGGGGTGGGGGTTCAGAATGAAGAAGAGGGGGAGGCGGGAGGGGGACGGGGAGTGGGGTGGAGAGCAAAGGGAACGGAGAGAGGAAAGGAGATAGAGAGACGAACAGAGTGAGGAACAGGAAAAACAGCAAGGGAAGACATTAACTATTGAACTTCCAGATTTCTTCCCGGCCGTGTGGAGAAACAGTGCGGCAGAGGAACCTGCGGGCAAAGTGCAGGTTGTGCGTCTCGAGTGGTCGCCCGTGAAGATGATCCTGGTAATTAGGCGGGTATTCCATTAAACCATCAAACCACGGCTTACGCCTCACCCGTTCTGACTGGGAAATGTGCAGGGAGAAGAAGAAGAAAAAAAAAAAAACACAACAGGGGAAAAAAAACAAACAAAGTGCATTTGAGAAATGTGTGTTTAGGTGCAGGAGGGAGACAAACACTGCGTGGACACGTGCCAATCGTGACTGTACGGCCGAGCACTGTGCATAAACATTTCCTACTAAATAACAGGAAAGGGCAAACCTTGAAAACCTTGATCAATCATCAGCGGCTGGGAGTGCTGCGGGAATGAAAAAGATAGAGAGAAAGGGGAGCGTAGGGGGGGAGGAGGGAGAGATAGGGAATGAGAGTGAGCGCGAGGGAGGCAGGGGAGGGGAGGGTGGAGAGGGGGAGACAGAGAGAGAAAGATTGAGTGAGGGTGTGAGTGAGGGGGAGAGATAGCAGGAAGTCGAGAGAGAGAATGGGAGAGAAAATAGAAGGAGAGCAAGGGGAAGAAACAAAGAGATAAGAGGCTGAAAGACAAAGAAACCACATGGAAGAAACAACAAGGGACACGTACATAAAACAACACAGAACGAGCCCGATGGGGGAAAAGAAAGAGACACAGACAACAAAAGTTTGGGGGAGAAACACACTGGCTCCTTTCCAGGCCCGAATCTTCATAACAGCACAAAAGAAAACTGCTCGCTTGTCCATTACTTTGGGTACATTTGTGTGTGTCTGTGTGTGTGTGTGTGTGAAGGGTTTCAGCATGCTGGGAAGGGTGCATAATAAGTGTAAACTTTTCTGGTCTTAGATTTTGCAGGTTCCTGTGAGCGTACGAGGGAAGAGCGTAAGGGAAGTAAACCATTGCCCCGCTCTCAAGTGCACTAACCCTCAACTGGGATTTCAAATGTGTGTTTGTGCGTGGTTGCCTGTGCTCGGGTCGTCTGATGTCTGAGATCAGGGACGAGCACACACACACACTCACACACACGCACGCACGCACGCACACCCACGCCATTGAAAGCAACACGCTTTCGGTTCTCCAGAGCCCTGAAAGCAGCACACTTCTGACACCGGTGTCCGTAGGACTTGCTGTGTTTCTACCAGCGACTTCTCGTCTGTTTCCCCAAACCCTCGGCCCGGTGCGCTGTGTTGTTTGTCTACAGGAGGACAACCATGCCGTCCATGCCGTCCAGTGTCACATCCTCTTTGTGATGTGGGTCAAAGTTATGACTTTCTTTTTTTTTCAGCCAGAGGAAGAGAGCATCAGCTGTCGGTTTCCCTTTGAGAAAAGCTCAATGAATTTAAAACTGCAGGAGACTCATTGGCGACAACGAAAAACAAATGTGAGCACACACTCACGTTGACAACATACGGGAGGAACTCTCTCTTTCTATGTACACACACACACACACACAATTCCCCTTGCTCTACATTAGTGAGCTCATATTGTCAGTGTTGTCCCTTCATCCAGCCCACTGACAGGCTACACACTGCCCGAGTGTGTGTGTGTGTGTGTGTGTGTGTGAGCCGTGCAAGGTGACGGCCCTAATTCAACATCTTCTCACTGCCTTGTGTGCTGGGAGCTGTGCAGGTTCGTCTATAAGACGGCTCCATCTCCTGCGTTCAGGTGAGCATTTTTCTGATTTCATCAGAAGCGGAGAAGGAAAAGGGAGGAAACGGTTTGCTGGGTGTTTTGAACAGCATTATTGGACTGATGTTGATGTTACAGCTGACCATCCCTCTCAGACCTGTCTCAGGCAGCAAGCCCACACACCTTCTGTTATTTCCAGTGCTGGATCAGCCTCATCGCTGCACGGCATGCTGATATAATAGCAAGTCTCAAGCATGATTAGCTGCTGTAATTAAGCTTTCACAAAAAAAAAAAAAAAAGCACAGGGGCTTTTTCATGAGCACAGAGCAGACAATCAGGCAGCTTGAATTTAAGCAATGCAGATGGAATATTGCAAAACTGTATGAAAACAGCCACACCCAAGTCGCACGCCTCCGGCTTCTTCCACTAAGGTCAGTGAAAGAGAATGGAAACATAAACTGCAACAAAAAAAATACAGCTTCAGTCTTTTTTGGGCATCCTCTCACCCAATGCAAGGCATACGTGATTAGACAAGGTGGACTATAGGTGATTCACTTGCAACTTCAATCAAATAGATGGAATAGAATAGAATATAAGAAAAATCAGCAGAATATTCTGTATTTGTTTCAATATTGGTCCTGTCCATGTTTGCTTGCTTTTTCCCCATCCTGTATATCTTAACAAATCATGTCTTAAATTCAACCAACAAATCCTCCTGGAGCAAACCTCAAGACAAGATGCAGAAATGGCCAAAGCAAAAAATAAATAAAAGCTAAATAAAAGATTACTCTCCCCATTTTGTAGTGAGGGGCACTAAATGGAAAGACAGAATATTAGCAATGAAATAGCTCTGCTTGGAGACAACATTGGAGAAAGGAGTGTGGGGAGAGCTTGAAAAAAAAGGGACTGAATATAAAGGAGAAAAGACAGAGTTGAGGGAGGAGAGGAGAAGAGCATTCAGCAAGGAGGATATAAAAGGAACAGAGAGGGGGGGCGAGGGAGTGAGACGCAGAGCTATGGAAGGAAAAAGAGAAAGAGAAGGGAGAGAGAGAGAGCATAATTGAGCGAGAAGAGAGGGGGGGGGGCATGGGAAAGCAAGAAAAAGAGAGAGAGAGAGAGGAGGAAAGAGAGATCCAGAGAAAGAGGGAGGAGGGAGCGAGGGGGAGCCAGTGAAAAAAACATAGACAGAGGACGAAAGAGAAAGACAGAGAGAAGAGAAAAACAGAGAGGGGGAAGGGAGAAAGAGGGATAGCCACAAGAGACTCAAAAACCACAGAATAAAAACCCTCTGTCTGTCTGTAACTCTATATAGATATACAAATATGAATACTAATATATGGGCACGTTGCATTTTTTTCAACAAGAAGGGATAGTCAACAGTACGGAATTCAATGCGCACCTCAAGTTCATTCAATAAGTCGGCATTCACAATGTAGGAGCGCGGAGAACTCATATCTTCTTATCAGGAATGCAGTTTTTCATTGCAGTGAGGTGGGTGAAGAATTTCACCAAGGTACTTTATCCTATTTTAGTCGCTCTGAAGTCTCACCCTTCTATGTGATTCATGGAAAAGTATGCTTATAAGATGCTCCACAGCCTCAGCAGCTCCTCTCTCTGTAGGTGCTGAAATCTGACAGACAGACGCGCATAAAGACATACATAAAGACATGCATAGAGACGCCTGATTTGGACGATCGTGCAAGTGTCCTACATAGTGAAATGGCCCCAGATTTACTCAAGGTGAGGCCCACAATGGACCTCGGAAGCCTATTAACACTAGAGGTCTCTGGAGTGCCTTATGTGCCGGTTAGAGGCGACCACATTCAAGACGGCTACAACAGACAGTGGGGAC